CTTATTCAATTTCTAATTTAGTTACTTATTTTTAATGTACTGATGAATATTTACACTAAAAAAAAAAACGAAGGGTTTTGCTTGTTATGAAGAAATAGACCAGAAGTGAGATACGAGATTGATCAATTGCATACCTAATATATCATAAGAGCCACTAAGATAGATACCCACGTTTACAAATCTAATATGAAGTCAATTTTTTTGTATCAATACTTGCTTAATCAAATATTAATACATATACATACAAAAGAGAATGTGTTGATTTATATATTTAGGTTTGATGAATTAAGCTTCATATATGAGAATAAAATAGATTCTTCACCCAAGTAATTAGAGAAATACCAAGTTAAAACTCGTAATGTATTAAATTATTACTATAAATCTGATATAATTATTAAACTACCATTTAAGTTATTAATGTTAATTTTTTGTATGGAGAGATTATAGCCAAATTAAATTATAAATTGCATATAATAAACATAATTAAAAAATAATAATAATAAGAGAATTGGTGCATGGATCAAAGCTCAATCTCCACTCATCGAACATGATCATTCTAATGTCATGATGGTTATAGTAGAATATAACTATCTCCACAAATGCTGCAATCATGCACCCATATACATACATACATACATACATACATATATATATATATATGATTTCTGAATGAATAGATTTTGACCGCATCCTTTAACTGCTGTGTATACATACATATATATATATATATATGTATATATGCGTCCATACGTGTATGCCTCGTAATGTTCATGTCTGCACTCACTGTTTCTCTCTTTCTCTCTGTATTACATATATGTACATATATAAAAATAGCGAAGGGTCCCCTCCCCTTCACTTTGGTACTGGCACGTGTCGATCCTCCACTATTGGGTTGGTGGACACGTGGCTGATGCTGACTTGACATTCTGAAATGTCCACGTGACAACAAAATCTCCCCAAGATACTTGGGGTTGCCCCATCGTATCACCCATGAATCCACCACTTTTCCCATTAACACTACACACTCGGTTCCCACCTCTTTGCAATTTGAATTGATGGATATCAACATTTTAGGTCGATGGTTTTTTAATTCCATGCAAATACACCTCCACTTTTTTTTTTATAACTCAAACATATATATATATATATATAATAAGTACTTGTAAGTGTTTAGTTTGTAGTCACCCTAATTGGGTTTGGTGCATAATAGAGGTAGGTGTAATTTAGATTTTATAAATTGAATAGTAAGATTCAAAATACCTTTGAATATACAAAATACCTTTGTATTTCTCTTTTATCATGATTTTTTTATAATTTTATTTGTTTGTATTTTTAATCGCATAATATAATTTTTTGTTGGTTGAGTTGTGGTTTTTAAAAATATAATTCTTTTTATTTTTTAAAATGATTTTAAGATGGTTTTATATTTTTTTTATTATTTACAAAATTTTCTTTTATTTTAAATTATTCTACCTGACATTTTTTACTCTTCTTTTTCTTCTAATTCAAAAAAAATCGCTTCTTCTTCTTATTTTATTGTGTGTGTATATATATATATATAATTATATATCTATATATTTAACACTATATATTTTTTATTTTTTATTTATTATTATATACAATAAAATAGATACAAAATAAATAATTTATTCAAATATACAATCATATCATACTGTCAATTCAAATAAAAACAATTATTACTATCAAATATTAATAATAAACTATCATCCAAACATTATTAAATTTAAACATTAATGAACTTTACACCTATCATATAATACCCAACATTAATGAACTATTATGCAAATCTTCCAATCAAATTCTAAATGTCTAAGTATAATTTTATAAGATATTATGTTCAAATATCAAACTAAAAATAATAAATAATAATAATAATTTATATCGCAACATCGCGTGGGCTTTTTCCTCGTATGAATGAATCCCTTAGCGAAGTAGAAATAGCTCGTCTTGGGCTATGATTTAAAATAATAATCGTCATCATCATCGCAGGCAAATTTAAAGGCTTAGCAGATGTTTTAGGATCATCTGAATGATTAATGACTTGGCCATATATTTTTCAAGAGTTGACTTTGCTGCTAAAACAGAGGTTTTTAGTGTATTTTTGACCACCATGTCCATATGAGCAACAGAAGTAAAACTAATAATTCTGGACAAGCTTATTACACCACAAAGGCAGTAGACAACTAGCTATTGCCCATCCAACCTTGTAATATTGATGCACCCATGGCTGCGACAAGATTAAATATGAAAGGAAAAGGCAGTATGAAGACAAAACTCGGTAACAGAAGTCTTCCCCTATTTTTTTAATACATACAGCTTCCTCGTTAAATCTTTCATCACTTCATACACCATTTAAATTCCCCACATGCAAGTAACTTACCTTCTAACAGAGTCCCAGAGAAGTAAATGTTCATGTTACCAGAGGCTTAAGAAGGCCTAGAAAAAACGAGAAATGCATAACATTTAGACAGCTAGATAAGATTGTTGAAGCTATTCCGATTCTGGCAACTGATTAACAATGAAATAAAGAGACATATTGCTAGATAATCACTTGGAAAATTAGTTGTCAACATTCTTGTCTTTCTCGGAGCTGCAGATACCGCTTGCATTCTCGCCTCTAATTTCTTCATCAACAAAATTCTGGTCTGACACCTCTGCTGGCATATAAAACATGTCCATCATCACCATCAAGACCCAAAATGGAAAAAGAAAACTAACCTAAGACAGAGAAAGATTGTATTCCAAAGCATTCATGAGCAAACAGTTGCTGAGTATAATATTATGCCATGCATTATATCTCTTAGGCCATGAAAAGAGAACCATTCAGTAGCGAATTAAGTCTACATTGGAGAGAAGGTGATGAAGGTTCTCCAAGTTTTTGGACAAGGAATGAAGGGAAAGATTAGAGTATCTTCTCCTCACCCCTATTCTCCTTTTATTCCTCTCCTAATAGCTATCAAGATTATGATGTAATCTAACAATAATTTCCTGCTTCACTTAGAGACATGTATAAACTATATTCTCACTTTTTCAACCTTCAAGACTCAGACATTCCATTTAATCAGAATACATTTTAAGATAAACATAAACAAATCAATTTTACGAACTAAAACGTTGCTTTCTTAAAACATTCCATTTAAAACGTTTGTGGAAGAAAATTAACATTGACAGCAAGAATTTTTATGATGGCATATGCTGGCAGCTGGGTAATGGAACTGAAATTAATTTATGGAAGGATGAGTGGGCTGGTGACTTCAAATTGAAAGACAAGTTCCCGAGGATCTTTGAGATCGCTAGGGAGAGGGATATCCTTGTGGAGAAGGTGTTCGAGAGGGGAGTTTGGGGGGAGTCAGGAGAAATTTGAAGGATGACGAAGAGGTTGAATAATGTAATCTGCTTCGTTGTCTTGCTGATTTTAAGGTGGGAAATCTGAAGGACAAAAGAATATGGAAACCGGACAAGAAAAGAGACTTTTCTGTGAAGTCCTAATACAATTTTATTGTAAAAAATGGTGAGAATAATTTTATGGCAGCACCGTTTAAGCAAATCTGGAGGTCAAAAGCTCCACCTAGAATGGCTTTTTTTCATTTGGGATGCTGTTAAAGAAAAAATATTGACCATTGATATGTTGAGAAGAAGAGGTATGATGATGGTTAATAGGTGTTACATGTGCAAGGTCGATGAAGAATCTTGCAACCACTTGTTACTTCAATGTCCTATGGTGTACAGAATTTGGGAGTATGTGTATGGGATTATGGGGATGAATTGAGCCATGGCGGGGAGTGTTAGTGAATAGTTGTGGGTGTGGGTTGGTTTATGTAAAAAGAAAAAAGAATTATTCCTTATTCCGATTTCTATTATGTGGGTAGTTTGGAGGGAGAAATATGTTAGGGCTTTTGAAGGTATTGAAACAGACATTGTAAATATTAGGGATAGATGATTTCATACTTTTAATTCTATTTTGTTAAGTCGTGACATATTAGAATGGGAAGATATTGGAGTTGTTATGGACTACCTAATGGACTTGTAATTTTGTGTTTTCGGGTGGTACTCCCTTAATACTTTTGTGTATAATAATATTCTTTCTCTTTTATCTCAAAATAAATAAATAAATCATTGCTTTCTAAGAAGAATAACTACAGGCATTGTTAGCTACAGTACATGATATATAAAATAATGAATTTGTCAATCCTTCAATAGTTCAAGTTGTAAATACAAAAATATCTTGCACTCATTATCTGAAAATTTTTTATTTTTCAGCATTATTACTTAAAATCCATAAACTACCTTAGAACATAAATTGGATTTGGAAAAAACAAAGTGACGCGCTTCAAATATGAACTGGTAAACAATCCAAGATAAGTCAATAATCTTATTGCTCGCTGACTGATTAGATATTGGACCATTTCTGATTATGATCTACCACACTCCCCAGGTAAATACTTTCTGATCCTCATAGTGGCACCAGAGTATTAATCCAACACATCTACTGGGACAAACTAGCATAAGTAATACTCATTGCTTTTCAAAATTGATAGCTTAGGCTTCAGCAAGCATGTCTACAGGAGCAATACATCATGAAGGTGGTAATGAAAAGTATAGGGTCTATCAGCAAACATTACCTTCGGTGGAGTCAATAAAATCTTGATCCTGTAAGGGGGAGCGATACACATGAAACTGCCTTGAACCAGTAGCTGATTCGGGGTTGTAGGGCACGTCTTTCCTCGCAGTTGAAGCAATTGCTTGGCTTTTCAATGCAGAACTTCCTTGGAGACTTGCTGGTGCTAAAACCTGGGGCTTGTACACAGGACTAAAATGCCTAATCCAAGGACTTGCCAGAAACCCAAGGGATTCATCTTCCTTGTTTAACTGAACTCCAGGTCTTTCAAAATTGACCTTTTGCCAGCAACCACGACGAAGAACCTTAAACTGGAGTAATGACATGGAATCCATTATAGAAATAAAAATGCATCCATTATGGAATAAACATTTTGTTTGTTTATAAAACATATATACAATACAGAAGGAAGTAAGCAGGAAACATAAGAAGTCGATTTTGAACCTGGCCAGAGGGTACACGAGGATTACAACAGGCTTGCCTGGACGATTTTATGTTTGACAAGTTCCCTTTTTGTTGGCGCCAACTAAGAAGATCCGAAGAATTATAGAGCCGATTAACAAAAGATGTTTCAATGGATTCAAGATATAATCTATGCTTCTCATTGGTCCATTCTGCACTCTTACCTTCTTCAATCTGAGAATTCTGGCATGCCATTAAAATCATCATCAGGAAACTCTGGAAATTCTAATAACCAAGGGGGGTATTTTCCAGAAATAACTGGTAAACGGAATTTGTCAACCAACAACTTTTATTTACATTCATTGCGTTCTTGATTCAGAAAAAAAGTTTTAGAAAAAAAAAAACAAACAAACAAACAAAGAACCTAACATTGATAATACGAGGTCACTAATAACCCTAGCAACAAGATCTTTTGCCTATAGTGATAAATCAAATAGCAAACAACTCAGATAATATACCAATTAACCCCAAATTTTCTTCATTCAGAATTATTCCTCCATGGAAATCAAGTCTGATAGCCATAAAGTAGAGAACCTACCATCGTAGCTTACAGAAGAAACATATAAATGTTTGCAGTTTATGGCTTCACAGGTCAATTTCACACGACATACTTGTTTTTCAGTCTTCAGACTCGAGAAAAAGAAGGTGCAGAGGAAAAAACAAATTGCGGTGATTAGGTATATAATCATGCGGAAGGTAAAACGTAGAATCAATAGCGAGTAGAGACAGTACCATGCTCGAGGTCTGAGATCCACCTGCTGAGAAAATCCGCGCGACTCGTCCCCCGGTAAACTCAGATATTAACGAACTCGCAAGAGCATATTTTCACTGGAAGACTAATCCAAACGATTTGCATACCATAAACCCCGGAAGTAAGAATCGAACTCAGAGAGGAGTAAACTCTGGGAGGGAGAGAGAGGAAATGGGGGAGGGAGGGAGTGATGTTGGAGAGAAAAGAGTAATCGCTTTACACGTGGAATGGGGACGCGCGGGTCCCACGTGAAGACGCAGGGTGGTGGTGGGGGGGAAGAGGTTCAGATATTTTGTATGGGAATGGAAAATATCTGTTGGGTTTGCTTGAGGTCTGAGATTACGTGGCGGCTCTTTGTTTTTTTTGACCATTCTTCCCGAACACTCCCTTCCTTTTATCTTCCTTTGGCCCAGCAAATAAATATAAAGCCATAAAAAAAGATATTTATTTATTCATTAAATCGGCGGCCACAACCTTTTTTAATCAGCCAATATCCTCATAATACATATGGGATTTTTATTATAAAAATTCATAAATTGACTGAACCCAAAAATTTTGATTTTAGAATATTAATATCATCAATTAATATACCAAATTCATATGAATTTGAGATATTTTTTAGATTAAAGTTTTTTATAAAAAAAAAATGTGCAATGACACCCCATGAGATAGAAACTTCTAACCCGTATGAAGGTGTGCCCATATTTGGTTTAGCTCAACTTTTCCCAACTTTACATATAGAGAAGAACCCTTCACTATATCTAGTCAATCTTTTGTCATTTTGCCACCAAATTGCTCTTTGATTATTTACAAAATTCATATATGTATTAATTTTGAACAAACATAAAACCCAATTATTCTTTTAAAGGCGAACAATTGGAGAAACTATCTCAATCCATTTTCTCTGAAAAAAAATTTATTAATTTAATGTCCAACATATTTTTCTCATGTAATTCGTATTAAGAATTGTATAGATGTGCAACAGCTAATTTTAAAGCTCCCTCTTACTACAATTTTATTCTGTATGATGGCGTGGGAATATTTTTTTTAAAGTATAGTTAATATATTTCTTATCTTCCTTACATAATTATATCCGTGTAGTACTTTATAAATAAACTTATATTAATAATATACGGTTAAATTTTTAATTTACTTACTTAAAAAAATTATGAAATCAAATTTTATCAAAAATTCGTTATATTGAAAACTGTTTAGCAAATAATTGTGTGTAATAATAGTCAGCTCGAGCACCAGCTGGGTACAAAAAATATATATATAATATATATTAATTAATTTTTAAAAAAAGAATGTAAAAAGAAAGAGAACAAACCAAGCCGCAAAAAAAAAAAAATAGATTTATAATGAAATAGCAGAAGAAAAAAACAAGAACTAGGGGAAGAGAGCTGAGTTCGAGCGGGTGAGAGAGGAGGCCAAGTTGAGTGAGGATCGGGACCGGGAGAGCGGAGTGAGGGAAGGAGCCGTGGCCGCGTGAGGAGGAGGAGTGAGTGGCAGTCGCGGAGGTGAGACGCGGCAGAAGGGGAGACGTCGCAGGAAGGAGAGAGAGAGAGAGAGAGAGAGAGAGAGAGAGAGAGAGAGAGAGAGAGAGAGAGAGAGAGAGAGAGAAAAAAAGAAAAAGAAGAAGAAGAAGAGAGGAAGAAAGGAAAAAAAAAACAAAGGAAGAAGAAAAAGGAAGAAGAAAGAAAAAAAAAAAAAAGGAAGCTACGGGAAAGGAGGAAGAAGAAGAAGGAAGGAAAAAGGAGAAGAGAAAAAAAAAAAAGGAATAAAAGAAAAAAAATGATGAAAGAAAATAAAAAAAGGGCAAAAAATAAAAAAATTAATTAAATTAAGGAAGAAAAATGTAAGTGCGGCGAAATGTTGGTGTGTCACATGCGACAACGCGCGTTGATTCGATTATCATTGTATAACATTTTCGGTGACATGCGTATGATGTCGCGTGGTAATGTTAACAATCGAGATCACGTGTTTCAAGGTAAAATTCATTTTTCGGTATAATTTTTAAAATTATTCATAATTTAATATATGTATTTTTTTATTATAAACGAATAAAATTATTCAAACCATATTCGAATTTCTGATATAACTGTAGATCAAGGTAAAAATAATTTTTAAAGTTTTTCCGATCATATCATAGGTAAAAATTATGCGTATTTTGTACAAATACATAAATTATATATTTATATAAATGTGTATATATAATATGCATTATGTATGAATATTTAAATGTATGGGTAATGTAATATAAATATAATTAGTATATTTAATTTGTATTTGTATATATTTATATAGTGTATATATACACGTTATTACGCATGTATATGTGTATATAGATAAAAATATACGATGAATTAATTTGAATAGAGTTAATAAGAACAAATGCATGAATAAATATATATATATATATATATCTGGTATGTTGTGTGTGATTGTGTATACATGTTTAAATATGAACGTGTGTATATATATCGATAGAAATTGTTTGTGTGTATGTAAATATAAATATATATTCTGTGTGAGACATGTAGTGATGGTACATATCTGTATTATAATATATGTGTGTATTAAAATGTGTGTACATATGTTATGTATGTAAAATGTATAACCAGTGTATGTACTTATGAAATTTGGATACATTGCACTAGCTGTGTGATCTGATGTAGATGTATGGTGCACTGTACTTACTGTATGATCTGGTACAGTTGCGCGAAAAATTTGAGTATCTTGTGCTTGCTGTGTGATCTGATATATGATGATTCAGAAAGTTTTTTGACATGTATAGTTCTGATGTGCATGATAATATCGTATATTATATGTATGTTTGTATTTAATTGTGCATGGAAAGTTAATACCTTAAATTAATATAAATTTTAGATTTTTAAATAAAAAACTAAATAAGTTAAATACATCTGGAAAACAAACACCAAAGAAATTGATAAGTGTAAGTTAGCTAGAGAAATAGACTTAATAAGCCACTAGGAAGGCAATCATAAGAAAACTGTAAAGAGTAAATAAAACACGTCATTTGTTAGTCGTAAATCGAGGAGGGAAAGGTGCGTGTATGGCTGAAGTTCAGCTGGTATGGTGAACCTGCACATAGATAGAGTTTGAAACTTAGTCTATACGTGGATATGTGTTTATGAGCGTAGGTCACCTAGCAAACGTAACTTCTGTGGCCAATATGAGATTTTTTTTTTTTTGTGTTATACATGCGATGGAGGGATCCTATATTCGATAATGATATAACGGGTATCGCGCGATGGTAATCTAATTAAGCTTTAAAAGGCTAAATAATATAAAATTATAAATTCGAGTTGAGTGATATGTGTGTGTGAGTAAATCCGTTTTTGTTTGAAGAATCTATGAATGCATGAGTGTAATTTGAAAAGATAACAAGAATTAGGTTTAAAAAGTGAAGATTAAAATATATTTTGTGCGATGATTTGTTTTATTATGTATTTTGGTTGTGATGCTTATTTGACATTTTTTTGATGATAAAAATTATTATATTTTATATATTGCGTGAATGTATGTACGTAAATCCTACATTATAGATTTTTTTTTTCTTACTTAGCACGTGAAACTCACCTCAATTCATCTTCATTCAAGTGAGAGGGAGATGAGAAACAAGTTCAAGATCAATAGAGGATGGCGAACTAAACCCTGTTAGTTTCTATTTTAAATTTGTAAATTAATTTATATCCTTTAATTATTTAAAAACAAATAAATTTCATATCACAAGAGATGTGCATTAA